CAGCTCTGCCTTCGGATGAGTCCGTAGAGCCGAGTGGCCCGTATCCAGAGCTTGTGGGCTGCCTCATGTACCTGATGACCTGCACTCGACCTGACCTTGCATACCCTCTTAGTATCCTAGCACGCTATGTCGCTCCTGGCCGTCACCAGAAGGAGCACATGGATGCCGCTAATAGGGTGTTGCGCTACTTGTGCAGTACGTCGGGCATGGGGCTTGTGCTTGGAGGACGGCGCGACGTTGTCCTCACTGGACACTCGGACGCTTCTTGGGCTGACGACCAGGCTACGCAGCGGTCGTCTCAGGGTTACACCTTCAGCCTTGGCTCTGGCTCTGTTTCCTGGCGTTCTACACGCTCCTCCTCTGTTCTCAGCTCCAGTTGTGAGGCTGAGATCTACGCCACAGCCATGGCTGCCCAGGAGCTACGCTGGCTCACCTACCTGCTGACCGACCTCGGAGAGCGGCCTCGTTCTCCTCCAGTGCTGTACGTCGACAACAAGGCAGCCATTGCCTTGTGTCAGGAGCACAGACTGGAGCACAGAACGAAGCACATCGCTCTGCGCTACTTCCTTGCTCGAGAGCTGCAGCAGCGTGGTCAGCTTCGTCTCTCGTACGTGGCCACTCGGGCCAACACTGCTGATGTGTTCACCAAGGCGCTTCAGCCTTGTGATCATCAGCGTTTCTGTACTGTTCTAGGCCTTGTGCCTACTCTCCCTCACTTGCTCACTTCTTGACTCTGCTTGTACTATGATCTCTATATATATACCTGCATGCTTACACTTGCTAGGTTGTGATCACTGTACCTCTTGTTCTATTATCAAACTGCATGTGAACTGGTCTTGTGACCACTTGCTTGTGCTCGGAATTTGTGTGGTATCCTTGAGATCCACCCTGAGCTTGTTTTGCTTTGCTTTCTTGACTGGTCTTGTGACCATCTGGTTGTCTCCCACTTAGCCTATGGGGGTGTGTCAAACATTATATGTTTATATTGTGTAGGCTATAGTGGGTTTAGCCATAGGGGGTACAACAAACTTAGGGTTTCCTACTTGTACCCAACTTTCTGCTAGTTCAATCATTCTCGTTCAGTTGTACATTCTAACACCCCTGTACGTAATTGGCATCTTCCTTCGCACCTTCTTGACCCCTCGCCCATCCCCCGCCCCTCGCATTCGCGTGGTCGTGGCGAACAGGGCCAGGGTGTCCTTCAAGTTCAAGTTCAAGGTGTTCAAGTTCAAGTTCATGGCAGAAATTTGTTCTAGGGAACATTCCGAACGTGACATGTCCAGAATGTAAGTCTCGCAATCCCCATTTTCTTGAGTGTAGGAGTCGCTCCCAAATGTGTTGAAACCTTGCGTCACAAAGCACGAATGTATTGCGAAAAGGTTCCTGGTGCGTGACAATACATGTGGTGAACTAGGTGTCAGAATGTTATCATTGTATAGTCTGCAGTGGGGTACTCTATAGTGAGTACAACCCAAATTAGGGTTTGCTATATGTACTGCCCTACTTACTAGTGAAGCCCCTCTTTTCTTGTTCTACACTTTCTGCTTGCCTTTCGACATGCTATCAGAGCAGGTCGACCCTCCTGGGTCGATCCTGTGGGTGGGCCCCACCCGATGCTTCCGCTGCTCTACTGCTGTCGCGCGCCCCGGGCGCGCGACCCTTTCTTCCTGCCGCGCATTCGGAGCGAGCGGCGTTTTTCATCCCGCCGTGCGCTCGGGGCGTGCGGCGGTTTTCTGCCCGCCGTGCGCCCCGAGGCGCGCGGCGGTTTCCTGCTTCGCGCGGCGGTTTTCTGCCCGTCGTGGCGCCCCCGGGGACCTGCGCGCTGCCCCTCGTCGCCTCGTCGCGGCGCCCTGGGGGCCCGCGCGCCGGCCCCTCCCGTCGCCTCGTCGCGGCGCCTTGGGGGCCCGCGCGTCCCCCCCTCCCGTCGCCTCGTCGCGGCACCTTGGGGGCCCGCGCGTCGCCCCCCTCCCATCGCCTCGTCGCGGCGCCTTGGGGGCCCGCGCGCCCCCCCCTCCTGTCGCCTCGTCGCGGCGCCTTGGGGGCCCGCGCGCGGCCCCTCCCGTCGCCCGTCGAGCCGCCCTCGGGGGCCCGTGCGCGGCCCCCCTCCCGTCACCCGCCGTGGCGCCCTCGGGGGGCCCGCGCCCTGCTCCTTCGTGGCGCCCAGGAGACCCCCCCGCCGCCTCCCTTTCCCTCCGTGAACCGCCCCTGCTGCTTCCCGCGCTCCTGCCTGCGTTAGGGTTTAGGGGTGGCGGGCATGGGGGTGACCGGTGTGGGTAACCTGCAGCTCCTCCTCCTCTTCCGTCTCCCACTGGTGCAGCTGCCGCTGAGGGGGGTGGGTGTGTGGGAGCCGAGGGTTTAGGGTTTAAGGGGGGTGCCGTGGGAGTGGAGCTAGGGGTGCAGCAGTGAGTGTGTGAAAGGGGGGTGGGACAGTTGGGGGAGGTTGAGCGGAGGCTGCCGTCTTGTCGTCCGCAGCACCTGTAGTCCGGGGCGCTGTCCTGGTAGCCCAGTCGTAGCCAGCTGCGCCAGTCGCCCGTGGGTCCGTTGCTCCTGCCGCTCAGAGTTGGCCGCAGAGCCAGTTACTCCAGTAGTCCAGGGCGCTGTTCCGGTAGCCGCTGTGCCAGTGTGACTCCTGTTGCCCGTGTGTCTGCAGCTTCAGCCGTCGCCTCCTATCTCCTCTCCTCTTACAGTCTCGCCTCCTCCTCCTCACTTGCCCTTTGTGAATGCCTCTAGCTTTGCTTGTCCTTGTGAACCGGCTCTATGCCTGCTTGCTGTGCTGATTATACCACACTTTGACTATGGGGGTGTGTCAAAATGTTATCATTGTCTAGTCTGCAGTGGGGTACTCTATAGTGAGTACAACCCAAATTAGGGTTTGCTATATGTACTGCCCTGCTTACTAGTGAAGCCCCTCTTTTCTTGTTCTACACTTTCTGCTTGCCTTTCGACACTAGGATTGGTAGCTTGAATGTAACAACACTTTTCACAAGTTTGGCAGTGTGACCATAACGGGCAGTGACAAATGCGGAACGAATGTGCCTATAGACACAGGCCGCGCAAGAATTAAAGCGTGGCCGGAGTACACATCGCGTATAGATGCAACTCACAAACACAAACAACCAGCAATCTCACATACCCTAGCTGCATGCGCTCTATAACATTTACTCCAAGAAGCACAAAGCATTCTACATTGTAGTGCTAATATGGTGGAGCCGCGCACGTTCCCGTTTCTCCTACGCCTGCTTGTTGCCTGGACCAGGGCGCGCGCCTGGACACAACAAATAATTGAGAAAAGATGCCTGAATAAGCTTGATAGGGTACGTTAATGGCTTACACCATGATTCCTGCTATTTATGTGCTTTACGTTGATTCTTCATAGAGTGCCTCACTAAGCAACCTAGCACAACATTTAATTTAATTATTTTTCAACCAAGCATACTCAATCCCTCTTATATGCACGTGCTTTAACCAGTTCGCGCGCGTGGACCAAGGCGCGCGCGTAGACCAAGGCGCGCGCGTGGACCAAGTCGCGAGCTTGGACGAAGTCGCGCGCGCGCGCGTGGACCAAGTCGTGCGCTTGGACCAAGTCGCGCGCTTGGACCAAGTCGCGTGCGCGTGGACCAAGTCGCGCGCTTGGACCAAGTCGCGCGCCTGGACCAAGTCGCGCGTGTGGACCAAGTCCCGAGCTTGGACCAAATCGCGCGCGTGGACCAAGTCGCGCGCCTGGACCAAGTCGCGCGCGCGCATAGGGACCGAGTCGCGCGCCTGGACCAAGTCGCGCGCGAGCGCGGACCGAGGCGCGCGCACGCACGGACCAAGGCGCGCGCGCGCGCGTGACAAATATGGTATTATCCATGCTAGTATTGGTCGTGTATCTTTTTCAGCAGGTAGACTTCAGGATAATGCTCGAAAGATTTTAAGTAGTGTCCTTAAATTAAGGCCAGCATCTGCTAAAGGGAGTTATCTAAGAAGTATTAGCTTGTCTAGTACTATGAGCAAGGGCATTAAAGTCGATACAAATACCACAATTGGATTTTAGTAAAATGACATATCAAGAAAAAAAATGGAATTATCGAACGGTTAGTGGAACAGTTTAAAGTATATGAGTACTTTTACATTGTTGACCCTAGTCGCGCGCGCGCTTGGACCAAGTCATGCGGACGTGTGGACTAAGGTGCGCGCTAAGACCAAGTCGCGCGCGTGGACCAAGTCGCGCGCACGGACCAAGGCTCGCGGGCGGACCAAGTCGCGCACGCGCGCGGACCAAGTCGCACACGCAGACCAAGGCGCGCGCGCGCATGGACTAGGTGGCGCGTGCGCGAGCGGACCAAGGTGCGCGTGCGCACGCGCTTGGACCAAGGCGTGTGCGTGGACCAAGTCGCGCGCGTGGACCAAGTCGCGCGCGTGGACCCAGTCGCGCGTGTGGACCAAGACGCAGCGTGGACCAAGGCGCGCGCGTGGACCAAGGCGCGCGCGTGGACCAAGGCGCTAGCGTGGACCAAGGCGCGCGTGTGGACCAAGGCGCGCGAGTGGACCAAGGCGCGCGCGTGGACGAAGTCACGCGCTTGGACCAAGTCGCGGGCGCGGAACAAGTTGCGCACCTGGACCAAGTCGCGCGCGCGCTTGGACCAAGTCACACGCGTGGACCAAGGCGCGCGCGTGGACCAAGGCGCGCGCTTGGGCCAAGGCGCGCACGTGGACCAAGGCGCGCGCTCGCCTGGACCAAGTCGCACGCGCGCCTGGACCAAGTCGCGGGCGCGCTTGGACCAAGTCGCGCGCGCCTAGCCCGCGCGCGCGCGCCTGGCCTGAGGGCGCCCGCATGGCCCGAGGGCGCGCGCCTGGCCCGAGCGCGCGCACCTGGCCCGAGCGCACGAGCCTGGCCCGAGCGCGAGCGCCTGGCCCGAGCGCGCGCGCCTGGCCTGAGCGTGCGCGCCTGGCTCAAGCGCGCGCCTGGCCTGAGTGCGTGCCTGGCCCAAGCGCGCGCGCCTGACCCAAGCGCGCACCTAGCCCCCGCGCGCGCCTGGACCGAGCACGCGCGCCTGGCCTGAGCGCGCACGTCTGGCCCGAGCACGCGCGGCTGGCCCGAGCGCACGAGCCTGGCCCGAGCGCGCTCCTGGCCCGAGCGCGCGCGCCTGACCCGAGCGCGCGCGCCTGGCTCGCGCGAGCGCGCCTGGCCCGCGCGCGCGCGCCTGGCCTGAGCGCGCGTGTGGCCCGAGCTCGCGCGTGGCCTGAGCGCGCGCGCGTGGCCCGAGCTCGCGCGCCTGGCCTGAGCGCGCGCGCCTGGCCCGAGCGCGCGCCTGGCCCACGCGCGCGCCTGGCCCGCGCGCGCGCCTGGCCTGCGCGCGCGCCTGGCCCGAGCGCGCGCATCTGGCTCGAGCGCGTGTGCCTGGCCCGAGCGCGAGCGCCTGGCCCGAGCGCGCGCGCCAGGCTCTAGCGCGCGCGCCTGGTCCACGTGTGCGCCTGGTCCACGTGTGCGCCTGGTCCACGTGCGCGCCTGGTCCACGTGCGCGCCTGGTCCACGTGCGCGCCTGGTCCACGTGCGCGCCTGGCCCGAGCGTGCGCATCTGGCCCGTGCGCGCGCGCCTGGCTCGAGCGCGCGCGCCTGGCTCGAGCTGTCACGTTTTAGCCTAACTAGAAGGTAGAGTAGATATAAAACGTGACACAAAGAACTTTAGTGAGACCAGCAGTAACAGGGATAGGATCGAGTGGGAATCTTGGCGGGAAGCCAAAGTAGCGAAACTCGGCGAAAGAGCCGTTCAAAGCAACGGGAACCGAGGCCAATTACTTAGGCAGGGACTCTGGCAGAATGTGCTAGTTTGCTTGTTTGTTTTCACTTTCAATCCGTTACTTGTGTTAGCGAACCAACTGGCCAAGGGTAGTGTGAAGCCAACCCAAGAAAACGAGGGCCCTAGGGACAAGGCTGACCAGTCGAGCCAGCCGAGCTAGCTAAGAACTGAGGAGAGACGAGAGCCAAAGTTGGCAACTTAGAAGAAGACAAGGCCTAGACAGGACTACAAGCAGGAGCAGAGAGAAGTCCGACAGAGCGCGCGCGCCTGGTCCAAGAGCGCGCCTGGTCCAAGAGCGCGCCTGGTCCAAGAGCGCGCTTGGTCCAAGAGCGCGCCTGGTCCAAGAGCGCGCCTGGTCCAAGAGCGCGCCTGGTCCAAGAGCGCGCCTGGTCCAAGAGCGCGCCTGGTCCAAGAGCGCGCCTGGTCCAAGAGCGCGCCTGGTCCAAGAGCGCGCCTGGTCCAAGAGGGCGCCTGGTCCAAGAGCGCGCCTGGTCCAAGAGCGCGCCTGGTCCAAGAGCGCGCCTGGTCCAAGAGCGCGCCTGGTCCAAGAGCGCGCCTGGTCCAAGAGCGCGCCTGGTCCAAGAGCGCGCCTGGTCCAAGAGCGCGCCTGGTCCAAGAGCGCGCCTGGTCCAAGAGCGCGCCTGGTCCAAGAGCGCGCCTGGTCCAAGAGCGCGCCTGGTCCAAGAGCGCGCCTGGTCCAAGAGCGCGCCTGGTCCAAGAGCGCGCGTGGTCCAAGAGCGCGCCTGGTCCAAGAGCGCGCCTGGTCCAAGAGCGCGCCTGGTCCAAGTACGCACCTGGTCCAAGAGCGCGCCTGGTCCAAGTGCGCTCCTGGTCCAAGAGCGCGCCTGGTCCAAGTGCGCGCCTGGTCCACGTGCGCGCCTGGTCCAAGTGCGCGCCTGGTCCAAGTGCGCGCCTGGTCCAAGTGCGCGCCTGGTCCACGTGCGCGCCTGGTCCAAGTGCTGTCGGGCTTTTCGGGCTGGCAGGTAGGCTGGCTGGCGGGCTTGCGGGCTTTGAACCAAAGACCTTTCTTTTAGGAATAAAAATCAGGTACGTGGCATGAATTCCCTAGATTTTTTGTAAAGCTACTTTTGTTCAATAAACCAGTGTAGAAAATTATACTCTCGAAAGATCAGACGTCCATAATTCTTTGGTTTTGAAAAAAAACAAATACGGTAGCCTGAAAATGTTTGCATCAGTCGAAAGGCGCCAGCTGCGGCACCTTCAGATATGCTCTCAGGTGCATCACCCCATTGCTGAAGGCTGCCATAAGCACAGGTCCCTTTACAATGCGCCTTCAACTGTGCTTCACTCTCCCCCACCTGACCTCGTCAGTCAAAGGGCGCCAGCCCCTCCCCCAGCTGCAGCACCCTCAGATCCGCCCTGAGGTGCGGAAGTACCTGCTGTTGTCCCTCACCACCTCACTCCACGAGTTCAGCAGGCTGCGGTAACCGCGCTCCCCAACTCCCCTCTCACCACCACCCTCAGTCAAAAGGCGCCAACCCCTCCCCCAGCTGCAGCACCCTCAGATCCGCCCTGAGGTGCATCACCCAAGTGCTCATGGCTGCGATAAGCGCAGGTCCCTTATCAATGCGCCTCCTCAACTATCTCTCCCCACCTTACACTGCCTACCGTACATCAGTCAAAGGGCGCCAGCCCCTCCCCCAGCTGCAGCACCCTCAGATCCGCCCTAAGGTTCATCACCCCGTTTCTAAAATACTTCCCGTTGTCCCTCACAACCTCGCTCCACGGGTTCAGCAGGCTGCGGTAACCGCGCTCCCGAAACAGACCCTTGAAGGTGTGGGATGCGGTCTGCTTCTGCTGCACGAACTGCCCTGAGGGGTGATCTTTCACGAGAAAGGTGAACTCGATGGTCACACTGTCGTCCAACACCCTGTCGTGCGAGGGGCTCCTCTGCGGGGAGAGATCGGAAAGGGTAAGTAGGTAACCACGACAGAGCTGCCCCGAGGGAGAGAAAGTAATTTGAGAGGACTGAAAAGGTACCTCAAAACACAGTAGCACGAGGTGGGAAGTTGAGGAGAAGTGAAAGGTACCTGGGAAGCTTCAAGGAAGAGACCAAATTCTGACCCCCCAACAGGTGCCGCCACCCGCATGACCTTGAGCGATAAAAACCAGCTTTTGAGGCCAGAAGCTGAGGAGATGTGAAAGGTACCTGGGAAGCTTGGAGGAAGAGGCCACAGTCTGACCCCCCAACAGGTGCCGCCACCCGCATGACCTTGAGTGAGAAGAGCTTGCCGTGCAGCCATGTTCCTCCTAAAGTGAGCAGAAACAAAGGAACGGGAGGAACGAGCGATTGGAGATGCGAAGGTTTGAGCTGCCACTAGCATGACCTTGAGCAAGGAGAGCTTGCCGTTCACCCACGCTCCTCCTTATATGGCGAGAATAAGGGAGAGAGTCATAATGAATATAAGGGGGAATGAGCGATTGGTGAGTGTAAGGGTCGGAGTTTCCAATAGCATGACCCTTCCACTCGCGAGAAGAGCTTGCCATGCAACCACTCTCGCCCTGGTGTGACGAGATGGGGGGAGAGGCACAGTCTCACATAGCACAAGCAGGATACAGTTTATGATAACAGAGCAGCCAGCCGAATGGCTTATGAGAAACGATTGTCATACACCCATGCTCCCACCCATGCTCCCACCCATGCTCTTGCTCCAATCACCTGCCAGCATTATCGCCTGCCCCGGCTGTAGCATGTAACAATCCTGCAGCAGCACCTCGCTACAGACGGACAGCTGGCGCCGGCGCAACCCACCATACCAACACACGAGCATCAGTAGTGCACACAAGCTCACCTGCCAGCATTATCGCCTGCCCCGGCTGTAGCATGTAACAATCCTGCAGCAGCACCTCGCTACAGACGGACAGCTGGCGACGGCGCTGGTACCGCCTGTGCTGCTGCTGAATCGAGTCCAGAATGGGCGGCTGCTGGCGATGTTGATGTTGTGGTGGTTGCAGCGAGTCTAGAATGAGTTGCTGCTGCCGCTCAAACGAGGAGCACTTGAACCAGAGGGCCTCTGTGACGAGGGCGTGGAGGGTGGGGGTGTCAGCTTCTGGTGTGGTGGTGGTGAGAGCATGCAGAGCGGATGTTGCCATTGCTGGGAAGCGAATGCTGCCTGCTAGCCTGGGGACGGGTGAGGCGAGGGGAGAAGAGGGGACATGGGGTAAGAGGCGTGGAGGGTGGGGGTGTCGGCCTCTGGTGTGGTGGTGATGAGAGCGTGCAGTGCTGATGTTGCCATTGCTGGGAAGCGAATGCTGCCTGCCAGTCTGGGGAGAAGGGAGACGGGAAACAGGGGAAGAAGGGAAGGGGATCACTAGCATTGAAACGGGGAGCACTTGAACCAGAGCGCCTCTATGACGAGGGCGTGGAGGGTGGGGGAGTCGGCTTCTGGTGTGGTGGTGATGAGAGTGCAGGGCAGATGTTGCCATTGCTGGGAAACGAATGCTGCCCGCCAGCCTGTCGACGGGTGAGGCGAGGGGAGAAGGGGGGACACGGGGTAAGAGGCGTGGAGGGTGGCGTAGTCGGCTTCTAACGTGGTGGTGATGAGAGCATGCAGGGCAGATGTTACCATTGCTGGGAAGCGAATGCTGCCTGCTAGCCTGCAGAGGGGTAGGGGGGGAACAAAGTGGAGGAGAACGAGAAAGAAGGAGGGCCAGCTGTGCGTGTGGCAAGGTTGTCCGGCCAGTGGTGCCACACCCAGTGCAGACAGGCCTGCAGCACCGTCTCCTCTGCCTGCACCCCCACGTCGTCACTCCCCAGCAGCTCTTATCCGTGCTTACAGGTGGACAACTGCTGTTCTCAGACGAAATGCCATGCACCCACGCACCTTCCCAGCATCTCCTTGCGTCTCATAAGGTCATCCGGCCAGTGGTGGCGCACCCAGTGCAGGCACGCTTGCAGCACCGTCTCCTCTGCCTGCACCCCCAGTGGGAGCACTAATGCTAACCTACAGACGAAACCTCACCTTCCCAGCATCTCCGTCCGTTGTGCTAAGTCGTCCAACCAGTGGTGGCGCACCCAGTGCAAACACGCTTCAAGAACCGTCTCCTCTGCCTGCACTCCCACGTCGTCGCTCCCCAGCAGGGCTCTAGGGGGAAAGCCACACGCACTAGCACACACCACAAACCCACCTTCCCGGCATCTCCTTTCTTCTGGGAAGGTCGTCAGGCCAGTGATGGCGCACCCAGTGCAGGGAAGCTTCAAGCACTGTCTCCTCTGCCTGCACTCCCACATCGTCGCTCCCCAGCAGGGCTTGCAGGGCCTCGAGAGGTAGAGAGAGGAAGTCGGGCGTCTGCCAGGTGGCGTCGAGAGAGGTGAAGTGCTGCACTAGGAAGGCGGAGGACGAGGCGAGCAGGAAGGAGGCTGCAGAAGAGAAGACAAAGTAGCGAAGGAAGGGAAGAAGGGAAGGGAGTCAGGAGTCTGTCAGGTGGCGTGGAGGGAGGTGAAATGCTGCACCAGGAAGGCTGAGGAGGAGGCGAGCAGGAAGGAGGCTGCGAAGGATACGAAGAGGGAGAGAGATGGGAAGGAAGGAAGAGGAAATGAGGCCTTGAAAGGGTTCACGTGTGGCAGCCTGCAATGCTGCCTCCTCTGCGTGCCTGCACCCCCACATCATCCCATATCACCGCTCCCCACCCCAGCGGAGGGAACAGAGTGAGCAGAGGAAGTCGGGGTTCTGCCAGGAGAGGAGGTGTCGTGGGAGATGAAGAGTTGTACTAGGAAGGCTGAGGAGGAGGCGAGCAGGAAGGAGGCTGCAGAGGGGAAGTTGAATGAGGAGAGGGAAGGGTAGGGAGGAATGCGATCGGAATCATCAGCATAAGATGGAGCCTGCCCTACCATAAGGCCTTTCTGCTTGCGACCTACCAACCAACCCCAGCGTGCGACCAGACCGACTCGCCAGCATGTGAGGTACCAACCAGCTTCAGAGAGCGCAACGTTGGAGCAGACCCGCATGAGTCTGTTTTTTTATAATTCTCAAAAAACAGACTCAGCATAAGATAGAGCATTGCCGTACAATAAGGCCTTCCTGCTTGAGACCTACCAACCCAGCTTGTGACCAGACCGACTCGCCAGCATGCGAGGTACCAACCAGCGTCAGAGAGAGCAACGTTGGAGCAGACCCGGAGGAGCGTGCAGGCGATGTCAAGCGTCAGAGGCACCTCCCTGTGTACGAGTGAGAGGGACATGGGCAGAGGGAGAGAGAGGATCGAGAAAGCAGAGAGAGCAACGTTGGAGCAGACTCGGAGGAGCGTGGAGGCAATGTCAAGCGTCAGCGGCACCTCCCTGCAGAGCAGAGGAGAGAATAGGAGAAAGGTCGCATGGCAGCAAGTAGCGTCAGATCCATTTCCCTGCAGTCACAGCCTTGGATAAGTCGTCATATTGGCGAGCAGAGCAGCAGCAGGTGCAGCATTCACTTGGGATCATCGTTTCAGCACCACTACGAGCCGTGTTTTGAGTCAACTCAAAAGTACCACTACGAGCAAAACCAAGGGCTTTACCTCTCCCCGTGTCTGTATTGTGACAGTATCTGAGGTGGTGCGCGCACACATCGACGCATGACAGCACTTCCTACCTCAGGTGGTGCGCGCACACGTCCACACAGGATAGGACGGAAAACTTGTTGGCGAGCAGCAGCAGGTGCAGCACGGCCTCGGGATCATCGGAGCCCAGGCGCCCCGTGTACAGATAGTGCAGCAGATGCATGAATGGACGCTCCTCTGGGGGCGAGGGAGCGAGAGAACGTAGAGAGGACGGGGTTAGGAGGGGGTGCGGAAGGGGTGAAGGGCCGCAAGTGGGAGCCCAGGCGCCCCGTGTACAGATAGTGCAGCAGATGCATGAATGGGCGCTCCTCTGGGGGTGAAAGATTGAGACACGGGGAAGGGGAAGGGAAGTGGGAGGGTTCAAGGGCCACATCGCAGAGCCCAGGCGCCCCGTGTACAGGTAGTGCAGCAGATGCATGAATGAACGCTCCTCTGTGAATGGGTGGAGGGGGAAAGGGAGAGGGGTAATGGGGAAGGGCCACGCATCAATCATCGGAGCCCAGGCGCCCCGTGTACAGGTAGTGCAGCAGATGCATGAAAGGCTGTTGCTCTGAAGATGGGGGAAGGCAGAGAGAGGAGGGAAAGAGATGTGAGGGTCGCAAAGGTGACTCGTCGATAGAGTCGCCCCGTGTACACTCACAGGCACAGAGGTGACAAAGATAAGATAAAAGATAAACTCTGTCACTCTCGGCTTGGGCTGGATGGAAGAGACTTTTGAGTCGACTCAAAAGTCACTCTCGGCTCGGGCTGGATGGAACTTACCTTCAGGTGCGAGGTGGATGGTGACTGGAGGAGGCTTTGCAAGCTCGGAAGACGAAGTAGGGAGGGGACAAGGAGGAGAGGGGCGCCATTGGGGTGAGAAGAGCGATTTGAAGAAGTCGGATGGCTGAGATCACATGCACCCGCCAGGGCTTCTGAGCTGACTCACAAAGACCTTACCTTCGGGTGCGAGTCGTATGGTGACTGGAGGCGGCTTTACACACTCAGACTCGAACAATGGAGACGAGGAGTCGGTAAACTGCGGACGAGGAGGAGGGGGGCGCCACTGCGGTGAGAAGAGCGATTTGAAGAAGTCGGACTGAGACACGAGGATGGCTGATATCACGTGCACCTGCACTCGCCGGGGCTTATGAGTTGACTCGCAGTGCACCTGCACCCGCTGCTCTGCACACCCACTGCTGCTGCTGCTGCTGCTGCTGCTGTACTTGCTGCTGCTGATGCTTCTGTTGCTAATGAAATCCGCACCAGCTGCTGCTGCACCTCCGTTGTTTCTGTCAGCGCCAGCAGCAGAGGCTGCTGGTGTTTCAGTCGCGTCGTCGATCGTGTTTAAATCTGAGCCGTCCAAGCCAGCTGCTGCAGCAGCGAGATCTGCAGACGCCATTCCGTTACTCCCCAACCGCTCTTCTTCACCCTTCCAAAATTCTTCTCCGCACTCGCGCTCGCGCTCGCGCTCGTGCTCGTGCTCGTGCTGGGGCTGTGGCGCTTTCCCCTGCTCGTGTCCCTGCTCATATCCTTCCGCCTGCTCCTGCGCGCTCTCAAGCTCATCCGCGGCAATCTCGAGGGAGAGGCAGCGGTCGCTGAAGTCGGGGTTGTTGAGGGCGAAGGAGAAATCGAACGCGCGCGGGTCAGGCGGGTACGACGGCCGCGGCGGCGGATGCGGGCGCTGGTGCGGGGAAAGGGCGCGGTGGTGCGGAAGGTTCTGGCGGGTCTCGCTGGGACTGCCGCTGCTGCTTCCGCCGGTATTGGAAGCCATGGCGGGAAAAAAGCTTTTTTGAATTCTAGATAAAAAAAAAAAAAAAACAGAGCAGGGAGTCTCCTATGTAAGGTGCCGGGAAACTTGTAGTAACAGTCTAATACAACATCATTCAAGCGTTTGGGACGTCTGAGATTTTTTAGTAAGCGTAGGAACGCAAAATGCGGCACACCGAACCTAGTTGCATGTAGGAGGGACGGCCGAAATGATATGAGTCTAATAGCGCGGATGATCGTCTATTTCTGAGGAGGAAGCTGCGTATCCAGGTGAATCACAGTTGTTACCAGCAGTGCAGCCTACGTAGCGCTGCGTACGAAAGCTTAGATGCTTATTTGCAACTAAGGACGTCCGTGCAGAAAGCTGCAAGGACGCACTGCCGCTTGTGACCGTTAATTGCTGTCCCAGCACGAGGAAGCACGCGACGACGCGGCGGCATGCTGCTGAATAACCCGTGACAGCGTTGGCGAGCCTCGATGCTGGCCATCACCTGGGGTAAACCTCTTACGCTAGAATGCTCTAAGCAGTCCCACCTGCTAAGCTAAAGTTGAGGTGAGGAAGCAGCTAGGGAGCATGCAATGCTTTTTTACCTTCAAAGAGCTCTCTAGACTGGCTTGGCCCGTGCTGCATGCCTGACGGGTGGGGTTGAAATTGGAATCCCGTTTCGGCGAAGTAGCTGAAGGTAACCGGATGGTTTCGCCGTGCCCTGCCGGGCACGCAATTTTCTTGCGGCACGCGCCACGCAATGCGTGACCGCAGCTTCGCAAGCAGCTCGAAAAGTCTCTGTGGGAGTCGTGGTAACACATTACACCTTTCGTGAGACAATGCGACAAACGCAAATAACAACAACCAGAGTCCGTCCATACCAGAACTATTTACTTGTTGTCAATGTGGTTCGGAAACCGCACTATTCAGATCGAGGATTTTTATATCGAGAATACACCCGTTAGTGAACAATCTGTTCAATTATCACCGCTTAGGAACGTGATATAAGCACTTGGAACAGAGAGTACCGTTCCCAACCTCTCTCATTGCGCGCAAAACAGACACCATCCTACCTACTCATTAGGGAAGGCATCAGAAGTAATCACATAATTAGGCTTTGGTTTAGAGACTAGGAATCACGAGACTGACCAGAATGTAATGCATCCGTTCGACGACGGGTTGCAGATTCCGCTCTGCGGATAAGCTTCCACGCTTTCCCACCTGAACCGCCAGTCGCGAGTCGCGACGACTCAGCCAGCAGTAGACAGCGCACATTGCGTCAGATGCTCGGGTAATGCGACGTATCCCTAATCAATCTCCGCTTAAAGCCCGGTTCACCACGAGCCTCCAGCAGCAGACATGCCCGTTCCGCGAAACCGTTCCGGCGGTTTCACGCCGAAATCCGGAAATGCCTCCGCGCCGTCACTCTTCAAATCCTCCTCCGCCTCCTCGGTCCCGTCTCTCTCCTCTCGGCTCTCGTGGAATGACCTCGCTCCGGCGCTGGCTATAGCGCTGCTGCTTGTAGCGGGTATGCTGCTCGCGGTGACGTACATGCGCGCGTCGTCAATGCGGTGCAATGCGATGCAGCTGGAGCAACACGTGAGAACGCTCAAGGTGAGGATGCTTATAGCGGGTACGGGTCTCGCCGTTACCTGCGGGTGTTGTCCAATTCGACGGAGCTGGGACATCACGTGAGCTGGATTTCCTACTTTATCCATTCCCGACTTACTCCTTGTCAATTTCACTCCTTGCCTCCCGTCCGCTTCCGATTCTTCCCTTCCCCCTCACCTCCCCAACAACTACACACATTCCGGTCCCCCTTTCCCCCTTCCCCCTTTCCCCCTTCCCCTTTCCCCTTCCCCCTTCCCCCTTTCCCCACATCATGTGTGCGCCTGTGGCAGCAGGGAGGATCGCGACAGGGGAGGCAGAGTCTGGTGGAGAGGCAGGTGAGAAGCTCGGGCAGGTAGGTGAGAATCTCGGGAAGGTGAGAATCTCGGGCAGGTGAGAATCTCGGGCAGGTGAGAATCTCGGGCAGGTGAGAATCTCGGGCAGGTGAGGAGTTCGGGCAGGATCGGGGCAGGTGATCGAGAAAATTAGGGGCAACGACTGGGAAGGAGAGTGGAGCACGCGAACGAATCTATGTGCATGTGGGGTGGTGGTGGTGGAGTGACATGCATGGTGGTGCTGGGGCATGAAGCTAATGCCTAGTCACTGCTCCTGTGTATCCTCGGTTCACGTGTTGCCATGTGTTGCCACGTGTTGCCATGTGTTGCCACGTGTTGCCATGTGTTGCCACGTGTTGCCATGTGTTGCCACGTGTTGCCATGTGTTGCCACGTGTTGCCATGTGTTGCCACGTGTTGCCATGTGCAGAATGACATTGGCAAGCGAACAGCTGAGACTCTTAAAGAGGCCATTCATTTGGTTCCTGTAAGTTCACGTCACCCATTTGCATGCTGGACTGTACCATGCGCACGCCATGCCATGCGCACGCCATGCCATGTGCACGCCATGCCATGTGCACGCCATGCCATGTGCACGCCATGCCATGTGCACGCCATGCTATGTGCACGCCATGCCATGTGCACGCCATGCCATGTGCACGCCATGCCATGTGCATGCCGCTGCTGTTGCTGCTGACGGTTCTGCAGCATTGGAGCACGCGATTTCTCGCAAGTTGCTCTCTTTCTCGCCTGGAGCTGACTGGCTGGACCTGTTGCCCCCTCTCTCGCCCTCTCTCCCCACTGTTGTACCCCCTGCGTGTCAATCCAGGGATGGCAGGCCACAGCAGCACAGGGGAAGAAGCTGCCTTCTGCCTCCTCCGCTGGAGCAGCTGCAGCTGCTGCCACGAGTGCTGCTGGCGGTGGCTTTGCAGCTATCAAGCACGCGTTTAAGCAGATAGTGCTGTCACGCATTCAGCCCGTGATCATGCGGCAAAAGGTGTGCTTTGGATTGGAGTTGGCTTTCATTCAGAACATTCAGTGCTTACGTTCTGAACATTCAGTCTTTGTGGGAACGTTGTGATCGTTCAGTGGAGTGAGAGCATGCATCGTTCAAGCAGATGTGAGAGCATGCATCGTTCAAGCAGATGTGAGAGCATGCATCGTTCAAGCAGATGTGAGAGCATGCATCGTTCAAGCAGATGTGAGAGCATGCATCGTTCAAGCAGATGTGAGAGCATGCATCGTTCAAGCAGATGTGAGAGCATGCATCGTTCAAGCAGATGTGAGAGCATGCATCGTTCAAGCAGATGTGAGAGCATGCATCGTTCAAGCAGATGTGAGAGCATGCATCGTTCAAGCAGATGTGAGAGCATGCATCGTTCAAGCAGATGTGAGAGCATGCATCGTTCAAGCAGATGTGAGAGCATGCATCGTTCAAGCAGATGTGAGAGCATGCATCGTTCAAGCAGATGTGAGAGCATGCATCGTTCAAGCAGATGTGAGAGCATGCATCGTTCAAGCAGATGTGAGAGCATGCATCGTTCAAGCAGATGTGAGAGCATGCATCGTTCAAGCAGATGTGAGAGCATGCATCGTTCAAGCAGATGTGAGAGCATGCATCGTTCAAGCAGATGTGAGAGCATGCATCGTTCAAGCAGATGTGAGAGCATGCATCGTTCAAGCAGATGTGAGAGCATGCATCGTTCAAGCAGATGTGAGAGCATGCATCGTTCAAGCAGATGTGAGAGCATGCATCGTTCAAGCAGATGTGAGAGCATGCATCGTTCAAGCAGATGTGAGAGCATGCATCGTTCAAGCAGATGTGAGAGCATGCATCGTTCAAGCAGATGTGAGAGCATGCATCGTTCAAGCAGATGTGAGAGCATGCATCGTTCAAGCAGATGTGAGAGCATGCATCGTTCAAGCAGATGTGAGAGCATGCATCGTTCAAGCAGATGTGAGAGCATGCATCGTTCAAGCAGATGTGAGAGCATGCATCGTTCAAGCAGATGTGAGAGCATGCATCGTTCAAGCAGATGTGAGAGCATGCATCGTTCAAGCAGATGTGAGAGCATGCATCGTTCAAGCAGATGTGAGAGCATGCATCGTTCAAGCAGATGTGAGAGCATGCATCGTTCAAGCAGATGTGAGAGCATGCATCGTTCAAGCAGATGTGAGAGCATGCATCGTTCAAGCAGATGTGAGAGCATGCATCGTTCAAGCAGATGTGAGAGCATGCATCGTTCAAGCAGATGTGAGAGCATGCATCGTTCAAGCAGATGTGAGAGCATGCATCGTTCAAGCAGATGTGAGAGCATGCATCGTTCAAGCAGATGTGAGAGCATGCATCGTTCAAGCAGATGTGAGAGCATGCATCGTTCAAGCAGATGTGAGAGCATGCATCGTTCAAGCAGATGTGAGAGCATGCATCGTTCAAGCAGATGTGAGAGCATGCATCGTTCAAGCAGATGTGAGAGCATGCATCGTTCAAGCAGATGTGAGAGCATGCATCGTTCAAGCAGATGTGAGAGCATGCATCGTTCAAGCAGATGTGAGAGCATGCATCGTTCAAGCAGATGTGAGAGCATGCATCGTTCAAGCAGATGTGAGAGCATGCATCGTTCAAGCAGATGTGAGAGCATGCATCGTTCAAGCAGATGTGAGAGCATGCATCGTTCAAGCAGATGTGAGAGCATGCATCGTTCAAGCAGATGTGAGAGCATGCATCGTTCAAGCAGATGTGAGAGCATGCATCGTTCAAGCAGATGTGAGAGCATGCATCGTTCAAGCAGATGTGAGAGCATGCATCGTTCAAGCAGATGTGAGAGCATGCATCGTTCAAGCAGATGTGAGAGCATGCATCGTTCAAGCAGATGTGAGAGCATGCATCGTTCAAGCAGATGTGAGAGCATGCATCGTTCAAGCAGATGTGAGAGCATGCATCGTTCAAGCAGATGTGAGAGCATGCATCGTTCAAGCAGATGTGAGAGCATGCATCGTTCAAGCAGATGTGAGAGCATGCATCGTTCAAGCAGATGTGAGAGCATGCATCGTTCAAGCAGATGTGAGAGCATGCATCGTTCAAGCAGATGTGAGAGCATGCATCGTTCAAGCAGATGTGAGAGCATGCATCGTTCAAGCAGATGTGAGAGCATGCATCGTTCAAGCAGATGTGAGAGCATGCATCGTTCAAGCAGATGTGAGAGCATGCATCGTTCAAGCAGATGTGAGAGCATGCATCGTTCAAGCAGATGTGAGAGCATGCATCGTTCAAGCAGATGTGAGAGCATGCATCGTTCAAGCAGATGTGAGAGCATGCATCGTTCAAGCAGATGTGAGAGCATGCATCGTTCAAGCAGATGTGAGAGCATGCATCGTTCAAGCAGATGTGAGAGCATGCATCGTTCAAGCAGATGTGAGAGCATGCATCGTTCAAGCAGATGTGAGAGCATGCATCGTTCAAGCAGATGTGAGAGCATGCATCGTTCAAGCAGATGTGAGAGCATGCATCGTTCAAGCAGATGTGAGAGCATGCATCGTTCAAGCAGATGTGAGAGCATGCATCGTTCAAGCAGATGTGAGAGCATGCATCGTTCAAGCAGATGTGAGAGCATGCATCGTTCAAGCAGATGTGAGAGCATGCATCGTTCAAGCAGATGTGAGAGCATGCATCGTTCAAGCAGATGTGAGAGCATGCATCGTTCAAGCAGATGTGAGAGCATGCATCGTTCAAGCAGATGTGAGAGCATGCATCGTTCAAGCAGATGTGAGAGCATGCATCGTTCAAGCAGATGTGAGAGCATGCATCGTTCAAGCAGATGTGAGAGCATGCATCGTTCAAGCAGATGTGAGAGCATGCATCGTTCAAGCAGATGTGAGAGCATGCATCGTTCAAGCAGATGTGAGAGCATGCATCGTTCAAGCAGATGTGAGAGCATGCATCGTTCAAGCAGATGTGAGAGCATGCATCGTTCAAGCAGATGTGAGAGCATGCATCGTTCAAGCAGATGTGAGAGCATGCATCGTTCAAGCAGATGTGAGAGCATGCATCGTTCAAGCAGATGTGAGAGCATGCATCGTTCAAGCAGATGTGAGAGCATGCATCGTTCAAGCAGATGTGAGAGCATGCATCGTTCAAGCAGATGTGAGAGCATGCATCGTTCAAGCAGATGTGAGAGCATGCATCGTTCAAGCAGATGTGAGAGCATGCATCGTTCAAGCAGATGTGAGAGCATGCATCGTTCAAGCAGATGTGAGAGCATGCATCGTTCAAGCAGATGTGAGAGCATGCATCGTTCAAGCAGATGTGAGAGCATGCATCGTTCAAGCAGATGTGAGAGCATGCATCGTTCAAGCAGATGTGAGAGCATGCATCGTTCAAGCAGATGTGAGAGCATGCATCGTTCAAGCAGATGTGAGAGCATGCATCGTTCAAGCAGATGTGAGAGCATGCATCGTTCAAGCAGATGTGAGAGCATGCATCGTTCAAGCAGATGTGAGAGCATGCATCGTTCAAGCAGATGTGAGAGCATGCATCGTTCAAGCAGATGTGAGAGCATGCATCGTTCAAGCAGATGTGAGAGCATGCATCGTTCAAGCAGATGTGAGAGCATGCATCGTTCAAGCAGATGTGAGAGCATGCATCGTTCAAGCAGATGTGAGAGCATGCATCGTTCAAGCAGATGTGAGAGCATGCATCGTTCAAGCAGATGTGAGAGCATGCATCGTTCAAGCAGATGTGAGAGCATGCATCGTTCAAGCAGATGTGAGAGCATGCATCGTTCAAGCAGATGTGAGAGCATGCATCGTTCAAGCAGATGTGAGAGCATGCATCGTTCAAGCAGATGTGAGAGCATGCATCGTTCAAGCAGATGTGAGAGCATGCATCGTTCAAGCAGATGTGAGAGCATGCATCGTTCAAGCAGATGTGAGAGCATGCATCGTTCAAGCAGATGTGAGAGCATGCATCGTTCAAGCAGATGTGAGAGCATGCATCGTTCAAGCAGATGTGAGAGCATGCATCGTTCAAGCAGATGTGAGAGCATGCATCGTTCAAGCAGATGTGAGAGCATGCATCGTTCAAGCAGATGTGAGAGCATGCATCGTTCAAGCAGATGTGAGAGCATGCATCGTTCAAGCAGATGTGAGAGCATGCATCGTTCAAGCAGATGTGAGAGCATGCATCGTTCAAGCAGATGTGAGAGCATGCATCGTTCAAGCAGATGTGAGAGCATGCATCGTTCAAGCAGATGTGAGAGCATGCATCGTTCAAGCAGATGTGAGAGCATGCATCGTTCAAGCAGATGTGAGAGCATGCATCGTTCAAGCAGATGTGAGAGCATGCATCGTTCAAGCAGATGTGAGAGCATGCATCGTTCAAGCAGATGTGAGAGCATGCATCGTTCAAGCAGATGTGAGAGCATGCATCGTTCAAGCAGATGTGAGAGCATGCATCGTTCAAGCAGATGTGAGAGCATGCATCGTTCAAGCAGATGTGAGAGCATGCATCGTTCAAGCAGATGTGAGAGCATGCATCGTTCAAGCAGATGTGAGAGCATGCATCGTTCAAGCAGATGTGAGAGCATGCATCGTTCAAGCAGATGTGAGAGCATGCATCGTTCAAGCAGATGTGAGAGCATGCATCGTTCAAGCAGATGTGAGAGCATGCATCGTTCAAGCAGATGTGAGAGCATGCATCGTTCAAGCAGATGTGAGAGCATGCATCGTTCAAGCAGATGTGAGAGCATGCATCGTTCAAGCAGATGTGAGAGCATGCATCGTTCAAGCAGATGTGAGAGCATGCATCGTTCAAGCAGATGTGAGAGCATGCATCGTTCAAGCAGATGTGAGAGCATGCATCGTTCAAGCAGATGTGAGAGCATGCATCGTTCAAGCAGATGTGAGAGCATGCATCGTTCAAGCAGATGTGAGAGCATGCATCGTTCAAGCAGATGTGAGAGCATGCATCGTTCAAGCAGATGTGAGAGCATGCATCGT